ATTCCCGTCCTAAAGCTATTTTCCAGCTTTAGTACGCTTAGATAGTATTACCTGCAAGCAAACTACGTAAAATGGTCAGTGAAAACAGAATAAATGTCTACTTTCAACGCTAGAAGAGTTTATTAAGTACCGTCCTACAATTAAGTTTGTAGGTAACAAGCACGACTGCTGAATACAAGGCTTTATTATTCAATCGGAGTTTGCAATGGAGTGAAAATATACATGCATACAGATCCTTACGCCTGTCTCCCATGGGGGTAGGCAGAGATTATGGAACGCCAATCATTCGCTTCATCAACAGTCATCGGTCTTTTCATGCATATTCGTCGGTATAGGGTACCTACTTTTAATTTAAGTAGGAATGGAAACTCAAAACAAATATAATATGATTTTTTAGTATGGGAAAGCCATGTTAGAGCCATAACTAGATGCAATGACAATAAATATAGTATAGAATTTCGTTTCACATTTCTATGAACTTTAGGCGAATATTTTCAGTAGTGGTAATATTTCAACGGAAATTGCTCACTAGATAGTCACGAAATAACAATACTATCTACTTTAAATCCCCAATTCTGATTTGTTTTATTATTCAACGCAGCACAACAATGACCACAACACAAGCGCATGTAAAAATATTCATTCATAAAATTATTTTGCTCTCAACCTCTCCATATGACCGCAGCAGTTCACCTACTGCATTAATTACACCGTGCGCTGGACATTTACGCTCACAAAATGTGGTTGCGAAAACACCAGGAACACTGATTATCTTTATCTAAAGGTCTCCCAGATTGTATGCAAAAAGGCTCTTTTGTGGTTCCCTTTTAAACGAAAAACAGGATACAACGGGACTTCGACCGTTTAAGTGGGATTCTATGTTGATACACTACACCGAGGAGAGTAGAACATTAATTTTAAAGTTTAATATGGGCGCACCGCAACGACTGCGAGGGCATAGGCACCTTTTAATTATTCCGCAGGGTATGTGCGTGACAGAGAAAAGTTATAAAAAAACACACGCCTGTTGTCTAGTTTGTGTACATTTTTTAGTATTATGTTTAAACTTTTCAGGTTTGGGAATAAAAAATATTGTGGTGTGCAATGGCCGCATTCAGAATTTCATAATAAGCTTCGAAATATTAAAAGAATACTTGGGCAATTATTCGCGGCATCTTGCTTAACACAGGCCGTAATGACGTCAATATCGGTTGTTCTCTTCAGCGTAATACGTAACAAAAGATGATTGATCAGCTACTGTCAAAAAGTTTGCTAACGGTATCAACACAGCGACAGACTTGGATATTTCTTGACATCGATCGCAATAAGTCAGTGTTTTTCAACATTTTCTCCACGCGATCTTTTGTTGAGTCTCAATTTAGGGACAAAGAATTCAAGCAAGTTGGAATTGAAAAAAGCCGTTAATTTAAGACGTTGTTTCTTATTGATAGCAGAAAAGTTAAGTAAAAATAGGACAAGGTATAGGACTCCTAAAATACTTTCCATGTCAGGAGTCTGTATTATACAAAATGTTGAGAAACCCTCTCAATAAGGTGATTGTACTCAGCTTATACCGATATAAATAGAAAGACTTCTACGGAACAATCGATGGAACCCGATATAGAAAGAAATTGCTTTGAAGTTCATAGACGGAGAGAGTTAAATACCAACTTCCTTAGTATATAGGACTAGCCTTTCAAGAGCTTAACATTGATTTGGGTATAATAAACCTTAGTTTAATCCGGAGATAATACCTTTGTTTGATAAAATTCAAACTACCATAATTTTAAGAGGCCGTTCTTGAATAAAATATGTTTTAAACTGATGAAGTAAGTAATTTAGCTGAAAAATATCCACTCACACACTCATTATTTTAGTTCAAAACACGGAAATAAAAGTAATCCCGTATCCCAAATAATTATTTTAAGATATTTACGTGATCTGACCGACAATAGTTGGACAAACTTTGTTGTTTGTGTTCTGTTATACACATTCACCAAAAAGGGGTTTAGTATTCATGCAGTAAAATAAACGTTCACAGCGTGAAGCAAGCCGAGACAGGTAGGAAGTGATGTATGAGTATTACATGTTCCCTGTTCCACATTCGCGAATTCGTAAATTCAATTTTCGCATAACAAATCCTTGAGGTATAAAGGCGCATGTCATGTAGGATATTACTACACACATGTGGTATTAACATGTATAAGGTAAACATTTCGATGTTACACTAGCGAGTTGGAAAGAAGCTGCCTTATTCGAATGCAGCGCCACCTATGAACCAAACAAATGTCACGTCAAAATCCAACTGGGACTCAAATATATACAAATATTTATACCTAGGTACTATGAGAATTTTGTTAGAATTCAAACTTTATTAACATAAACA